CTGTCCACTTGATGGAATGGATGTCGGCAAGTGACATCAGCGTGGCCACGGAGCAAGGATAGAACCACATGGGTTGACAGTGTCATTTAAAAAATATATGGAGAAAGTCACCCCCAAAAAGCCAGCAAGGCCTGCAGAGCCCTTGATGAGGGAAAATTGTGAGCAGGTCATTTCTGGTCACCCACTCTGCTGCATCCTCTAAAGTCGTGTGCACATGGGAGGCATATGCAGCCCCAACTACTCCTCACGGCCTCCCTGAGAGACTGTGACTCTTATTCCCATTTGCAGAGGAGGAAACTGAGGCACTGTGCAGTTTCCTGGCTTGGCCCTGCTCAGTGGCTGGACCTGGAGTCACACCCAGGCCCATCTGACTCCAAAGTCACGGAGCTTGGGCTTCTCCTACACACAGGGCAGCATATAAGGAGACTGTGTCCTCGCCAGATGTTCACTGCTCTGGGGCCTCCAAAGCCCTGCCTGTTATGACGAGACATGTCATCATGAACATCTGGCTGATCGGGGCTTCAGAGGCGCTCCCTTCCTCCCTCCTTCCCCACCCCTGCACCTGTCCTAGGTGGGCACTAGCATCCAGCTCAGTGGGAGGTGCTGTTCTCGGTTACCGTTTTCTGCCTCTGCTCTTTCAAGTAAGCAGGCGTCCTCGTCCTCAGGTGCATCTGGATGTGATACCTAGTGGGGAAGTCCCAAGGCAGCACTCCTGCTGTGTGGCGATGGTCAGCACCAAGAGTGTCTTTCCGCTCTGCACAGAGCCCCCGAGCTCATGGCTGCCTCATCACGCGTGGCCTGGCTCCACTGGGATTGTGCTTGATCTGTGACATGAGAAAACCCGTGGCCATCATTAGTCAGGTTCCCAGAGGGTAGTGGGATTTGTGACCCCTGGGCAGCCAGCCCCTGCTTGTAGGAATGACACTAGGAGACAGAGACCTTGGCAGCTGCACTGGGCCCCTGGGCCAGGACCCCGCACTCAGGGCACATCCTGGAGAGCTGTGAAGACAGTCGCCCCCGGGAGCCAGGAGGCAGCTCCTACCAGGGCAGGTGGGCGTGGAGGCTGATCCTTGACCCCAACACACGGCTTTTCTGCTGACCCCTCTTCATACTCCTGCCAGCCTGCATTCTTAGCTGTCACCAGCCCAGGCCCCGGGACACACCTGCTCTGCCTCTGCCAGCGTGTGCTGCTTGCTCCACATTCCCTGTGCCTCCGTACTCTGGCCTCCACCCTGCCATGGTCCTGAAGGCTCCTTCACCCACGGGGTGTGCAGAGGCTGAGTAAGTGACAACATTGTCAGGGAGCAGGAGCCCGAGGGGGCTTGTGGAATGGCTGCTGCCCCTGCCCGCTGCTGTCCCTGGGGCTGACCGGGCACCTCTGCTCACGATAGCCACATGCATGTTGCCAGAAACCTTTCCTTTGAAGGGCGCCGCCTCCCACAGTGCTGGAATAATGGGGCCTGCTTTCAGACAGGTGTGTTCACGCTGGCCCAGGACAGGGTGGACCATGCTGAGTCTGGATTTGCCCATTTCTCATTCATCTCCTTTTGCCCGGCGGTTTTGGGCACTTGGGGCACAGTGGTGAGAGAAACAAAGCTCCTGCCCTGGGGGCTTTCCCACCTTCGTGGGGAGAGGCCCGCAGGTGGACGGGGGAGGGATGGTGGGCGTTCAGGGCAGGCTGCTTGAGCAGTGGTGTTTGAGCGGAGACTGGAAAGCAGTGCCAGCCAGCCTGGCTTTGATGGAGGCCGCTGTCCTGGGTCCTGAGTACCATCAGCCTGATGTGCTCAGCACCCACTCCAGGGTGACAGGAGGGTCTGGAGCTCCTTGGGCTAGCAGGTGTGGGGTCCCCATCCAGCATGAGTCTGCAGTGGCCTGGTGTCCATGTGAGCCTTCAAGGGGCCACACATGGGTGCACCTCATCAGCCTGTTCTAGGTGCCATGCCCGGCCCGGCCCCCTGGGGCTTGCAGGCTGGGAGGAGGACACATGCCAGACAGACAGACAAGCCAAGGAGTTGAATGCTGCGCCGGAGAGGAGACTTTTCTAGAAACAGTGTGAACTGTCCTGGGGTAGCTTCCCTGGAGAAGGGACACTTGAGCTGAGGTGCAGAGCATGAACCAGCCACTGCTGCCTAGGGAGGGCATTTCTAGGAACATAAGGGAGGCCACAGAACCAGGAGCTTTGTAGAAGGCTGTAGTGGCCGGAGGGTGAGAGCGAGGGGCGGGGGCGAGGCATCTGCAGAGGCCAAGGCCCCTCATGCGTGATGCCACCCCCACCCCACCCAGACAGACATGCATCCTAAGGGAGGCCTGGATGCTGCGGGGGGCAGAGGGAAGGGTCTGGCATGAGCCTTGCTGCCACCTTGGAACTGACAAATAGTGCCTATGGCTGGAATTCCCCAGGAAGGGCTGGAACAGGAACAGCCCTGAAGGTGGGAGCCAGCCGCCCACCCAGAACGTGCCCATGGGACCCTGGGGTTCGGCTGTGGGAGGCAGGAGGCCCTCAGTGGGCTCCTGGCAGCTCTGGGCTCGCTCCTGCTAACTGGGACTTCCGACTTGTCTTTCAACCCCGCATTTCAAGTTAAGGCCCAGCCAGGCAATGACTGAATCAGGTTCCAGCTTCAAAATAACTCATTGTGTCCTGCCAGCCAGAAATAGGGCCTGTGGCTTGTTCAGAGTGATGACGTGTTCCCTGGAAGGGGAAAGGGCTCTGGCTTTCACTGTAACTGAAAATCCTCCCGACTGTTGTGAAGCGACCGCTGTGTGAGGTCCCGTGAGTGGCTCTCCAAGACGGCGCTGTCTTCTTCCTCTTGTCTGGTCTGATGCTCACAGAACCAACCTGTGTGATGGTTTCACATAGCTGTAGGTTGAAATTAGACGTTTCTTCAGATTTCTAACGGAAAGTAAACAGTGAGCAGCCAGGATGTCGCTGCGGCAGGTGGTGGTGGGGCGGGGCTCTTGTGGGCCACGGCAGAAGGACACATCTCCCGTTGTTCTCTGAAACAAACAGCTGGTGCTCAGAAGACCCCTGGAGATTGCTGTCCTCCCCGAGCACACTGACAGGGGGTCCCTCGTCATGACCCTTTGGCCTGTGGGGAGGTTCTTGTTGGTTTCCTCTGGTAAGAAGGCTGGTCTCTGCTTCTTGGCTGATGGCTCCCAGGTCACTGGGGAGAGGGTTGTTGCCTGGGCATTTGGGGAAGGAGGCAGGGATGCTGCAGAGACCCTCGGAGACGACCCATTTAACCTTCCAGCTGCTCAGCTGGGCAACGGGGCTGCGTGCCCTGCCCCTTCCCAGCGTGTGTGTTGGGTGAGTGCCGTGGGATGCTTCGATGCTTTGCATGTGACTGCACCTTACAGCTCACATAATGACACCTGTCACTGACCACGGGGCTCCTTCCTTTCCTCCCAGAAATGGCTGTATCCAGCACGAGATGGTCCCTGTAAGTATGAAGCTGAATGTGGCATGGAACGTTCTGGTACTTTTTAACATGGATTAGCCTCTCCTGCCTCTGGCCTGCTCACCCTCGCCGCTAACGGTCACTATGCTGCTCGACTTGTCTCTCCTTCTGATCTCTAAACATGCCTTGTGGGCCTGTCTGGATGGAGCTAGGACATGGGGGGCCCAGAGTGGTGGGGGGTGTTAAAAGGCCCCTAAAGCTAGCACTGGTTCCTGGGGAGCAGGTCCCAGCAGCTGGACCTGGGCAGGGATTTCCTTGAGCCTGGCCCAGAACGGGGCTGTGTTGGTGGGGAGGTCGTTGTGTCCATGTGTCGTAGGAAGGCGGCAGTGCCTGGGGCCGGCCCTTCCTCTGAAGCCCCCACGGGTCAGTGCAGCCTCGTGCCCAGTACTGTCATCGATGGTGAGGGTGGCCATGCACCAAGTGCCTCCCCACTGCAGGCCCCAGGCTCATCCCTGGGCTCGTTTCCTTCCATCCTGTAGTGACCCGTGAGACAGCTTCTCTCATGTCCACTTACAGGAGAAAACCTGAGCTCCATGAGCTTAAGAGGTGATGTTGAGGGAAGGGAGGATCAAGGCCAGCGGTAAGGGGCAGCCCAAGCCCCCGAGGAAGGAGGGCACGGAAGAGAAGGCCCAGGTCGCCCAGGTCAAGAAGCAGCTACCAGGATAGCTCATCATGACCCCAGAGTGTGGGAATTACAGAGAGGTGGGCGTGGGGTTGAGGCGGGGGTGGAGTACCTTGGCCAGTGTCTGGAAACGTGTGACTGTGGACTTGGAGGCTCTCAACAGGAGCTGTGCTTGTTCCGGGAGGCAGTGAGCATGGAGAGACTGTGGCCAGGCGCGAGCCCGGTGTGACATCCAGCAGCTCAGAGGAGGACACTCTGGTCCTGTGGGCAAGACCACCAGGGTTAGAAAGAAAGCCTGACAGGCAGGCACATGCAACCCCTGAGAGGAGGGGACATAGGGCCACAGTCAACTTGATGACATGACCTGACACTGTCAGCCCAGTGTTGAGAACACGGGAGCTGTGGAGGGTGGGAAGCGGGCTGGGGAAGGTGATAGAAGGTTCCTTCGTGGTGCGCAGAGCATGTGGGGAGGCCTCCATGTGGCTCCAGTGGGCACCATAGGATGAAGAGAGGACAGAGCAGGTGGCAGGTTTGACCTGGGCCTGAGGAAGGTCAGAGCAGCTCACACCCAGGGCTGCCGGACAGCAGGAGGGGCATTCACAGCTCTGGAGGCACCAGGCAGATGCTGCCGCTCCTGGCGGATGGCGGGACCCCTGCTTGGTCTCTGTGGCCACCAAGATCCCTTCACCTCTTAAGTTTTTACGTAGATGACTGAAATAGATGTCTACTCGTTAGCAAGATACACACTTGTGGGCTACTAATGATGCATTCTAATATTTTGTCATTTTAATGTGCTGGTAGTTATAAGGGCCTGTGTCACCTAACCAAGCATCCTCTAACTCCTCAGTAACAGCGGTTCCTCCGCCCACTGCCACCGCCCCATTGGGTTAAGGCCATCCTGACCCACTGTCCATGCTCCACAGGCTGTGTCATCACCATTTCTGGACGCATGACCTTCACCAGCAATAAGTCCATGGAGATCGAGGTCTTGGTGGACGCCGACCCCGTGGTGGACAGCACTGAGAAGCGCTACCGGGCTGCCAGTGCCTTCTTCACCTATGTGTCCCTGAACCAAGAGGGCAGTCCGCTGCCCGTGCCCCAGCTCGTGGTGAGTGTGTGTCTTCGGGAATAGCCAGCTATCCTTGCCTGACGGTCTGGCCCTGGGGTCGGGGCTTCCAGGGCTCACAGGAGAAATTACATGTGAGTCCCACTGTTCTGGCCAGAGGGGCCCAGGCCTGGCCACTCCCGTGGACTGTGGGGTTGGGTCTGAGCAGGCAGGACAGGAGGGTCCCTTTTGCGAGCTCCTTGTCATTGACGTTTCCTGGGAGGATCCAGGCCACTGGAGTGGTAAGCCTTGGGGTTCCCTGGTGTTGCGTAGGAATGCTGGGATGGGGGTGAAGACTGTGCCCTGGCCTCATGTCCTCCATACCCTGCCGAGGGCCTCATGGGAAGCCTGGCCTGTGTGTCCTGCCTGGTGCAGAGCAAGCTGGACCCCTGGACTGCAGGGTTGGGGGGCCAAGCTTTTTGGCCTTTTTCTGCCTCGGGCTGCTAGGGTATGCTGTGCCCTGGGTGTGCAGAGAGGCAGGTGCAGGATGGGTGGGGTAGATGGGGTGGGCGTGTGCCCGTCCACACTCCCTGTCCCACAGGGGCTGCTGCCCCTGGTGGGTCCCTGCAGACTCAGGCAGTGTTAGCACAGCCCAGAGAGGTGCTTCTGTGTTTGTCATGAGAATGGAAGTTCTCGTCGAGGGGCTTTTCAGCCACAAGCTGGTTCTGATTCCTCTTTGAACCACACCTGGTGTCTGTCACTAAGGTGACAGCTTCTGGAGACTAGGAGGAAACAGGAAGCCCCGGCTATAGTTGGAGCCTCCTGCCCTCCAAGGGGTGAGGGGCAGGAGCAGAGCACTGGGCAGGGTGGGCCTCGCAGGCCTCTGGGTACTGGTGCTTTTGTGGGAGGAGCCAGGCAAGTGACACGGCCTGCCAGTCCGAGCCCTGCTTCTAGAAGTGCGGGCAAGGCCCTGGCGCCCCTGTAGCGTCTGTCCCCGCGCAGGTCTGCGAGTCCTTGCTGCTCAGCCTCCCAGAGGAGAGCGTGCCCTGAAAGCCTCTGTAACAAGTAAACACTCTGCACTTGAAACCTCACTTCCTCCCGGAGGCCAGAATGAGGCTGCGTCGCTTCTTCCTGTGGCTGAGGAAGGCCACCTGGCTGCCACCCTGGCCGTCGTGGCGGCTGCTTCTGGGTTGAGACTGGGGCCCTGTGGCGCCTCCTCCCAGCCGCCCCCACCCCCGCTGCTTCCTCCTGGAGGAGCCCAGGCTCACCAGCCCCCGGCAGCAGCACTGAGGCTTGCGTGTGAGCTGTCAGGCCCAGCAAGGCCACCATGGTCACGAGGAGCCTCCGCGCCCACAGGGCCCTCTCCTGTCCCTGCCTCTCTCCCTCCCTCCTCCGCGCCTCCATGAGCACTGTCCTGATGCCGGCTCTTTGCTGGGGTCAGGTCCCACCTTTGGGGCTCCAGGGGGTTAAGCTGGCCACGAGATCCCTCCAGACCATGTGGCCTCATACGGTGCTGGGGGCAGAGGGTGCGTGGGTGGCCTTACAGAGGAGCTGATGGTGAACCTGGACTTGGCTGATCAGGAGGGTTGGCCAGGTAGAAAGGAAGGAGAGCAGGGGACGGGCAGGGAGCCTGGTGTCCACAGTGCCTGTCTTCTTCTCACGTACGACTCGCGGCCCATGCTGGTGGCCAGCCCTGCTGGGACAGTCCCTTCCCTGCTTGCGGCTTGCAAGGCAGTGCCTCTCCACCCCCGTCCCCACCCCTGTCAGAGTGGGAGGTCACCAGCCCCTCCTGTCCCTCCACACGTGTCTCAGCCTTTCTTGTTCCCACGCCCCGCCTCCCTGCCCGCCTGGCTCTGCTGCCTGCCCTGTCCCCTCATCTCCCACCCACCACCCCTCACAGAAGGCCCACACAGCACTCCTGACCAGGGCCTGAGGGGTCTCCCCTGGGCAGGCCTTGCCAGCCGCCCCCGCTCTGCTGGCTTTCATGAAAGTGCTGCACAGGAGGGACGGGTGTCCGGCCCACCATGCCGCCTGCCAGCTTCAGCAGGAGGGTTTCCATCTCGCCACGTCGCGCTCGGCCCCCTGACCTCGCCAGGGACAGGCCTCCACCTCCTTTGGCCTCAGCCTTCTCTGTCCTTGGCCACTGGAACTCCGTGGCTCTCTTGACCGCACCGCTTCTTGGCCCTGAGGTGCGGCTCCCGTTTTCCCAGGCCCTTCTCTGGGCTCTTTCCACGGGACACATTGGCCCTTCGCGATGCTTTTCAGGGTGGCAGCCCCTAACCTCCCTGTCCTGGACGCTCAGTTTCCTGCCTCACACAGGCACATTCCTGGAGCTCTCTCCTCCCCGCCGCCCCCAAACCTCCTAGACTCTGGCTTTCCTGGCTGTCTTCCCTCAGACCAGGCAGCATGGCCAGGTCCAAGGTCACTCTTTGGCTTTATCTCTCTGGCCTTACCATGGCTGTGGCACGACTGACCAGACCCTTGGTGAAGGCTACACTCCTTGACAGTGTCCGTGGGGACACTCTGGCCACCCCATGAACCCCCTAAGCACGAGGCTGTGACAGGCCCCGGGCCTCTGCCCCTTTTCTCCTCGGGTGGTCCTGTGCCTTGGGCACCGGCTGTGCTCACGTTGACTCCCACTCGGGCCTTGCCAGCTCTGCCTCTCTCCACAGCTTCTCTCCAAAAGCATCTCACAGTGTGTCCTGAATGGGACTCTTCACCTCCCCCAATCCCACTCCTCATGGTTCCCCTCAAAGTCCGGGAACTCACTGGCTCTTCTCCCCTGCTCAGCCCTCACTCAGCACCACTGCCCCCTCAGATAGCCCTTATGTCCCCCACTTTCCCCTCCCACCATGGGACCCCTCTCTACCCCCACCGCCCCCTCCATTCCTGCTGCCCTCATCCGCTAATGCACTGCAGCCCGGCGAGCTGACGGTCAAGGTCAGATTCACCGCCTCCCCCGCCTGGACCGTACAATGGCTCCTCTGTGCTCTCGGCATGGGGTCTGGCCATGGTGGGATCTCTGCTCCTCGAATGCCCAAGCTCACTCCTGCCTCAGGGTCTTTGCACCTGCTGTCCTCTGCCTGGACTCCTTCCTTCACTTCTCAGACTTTCCTCCTCAGAAGGACCCTCCCTGACCACTCTCTCTCGCCACTGCCTCAGGCGCTGGGTGCCATCCTAAATGGTCCTGTGCATGTCAGTTTAGTCTCTGTCCCAGCCCCACAACTCTCAGGGCTCCAGAGATGTGTGTGAGCGATGCACACAGGTCCCTCCCGGCGCACACACTCTCTCTCCCCCAACAGTCAGTGCTCCTGCTGGGTGAACGGAGCGGCCGCTGCAGGTCCCTGAAGACCCCCAGGGGTCCCTCCCAGTGCCCCCATCCCCCACCCCAGGGCCGCAGACACTGCAGGTGCTGTCGGGGCTCATGTGTATGAGGAGCCTACGTCCCACTGCCTGGCTTCTAGTCAGGGCCCTACAGTGTACGAGTTGTGTGCCTCGGTTTCCTCACCTGTGCGGTGGGGACAGCTTTGTACAGGCTGCGTGGGGCAGGTGAAGGTTTGAGGCCCGTGTTTGCCTGTTGCTGTTCACCTGCTCTTCCCGAAGCCCTCCTGCCTTGAGCTCGCACCCTGGCAGAGGAGGAAGTAAACAAACAGGCGAGAACAGAGGGTGTCAGATGGTGTCAAGGGCCACGGGGGGAAAAAGCAGGCAGCGGGGGCGTGGAGTGTGCTGGGAGAGCAGTGCCAATTTTAAATCGGTTCCTTCCCCAGAAAGGCCTCAAGGAGAGGCTGGAGTTGGGGAGGAAGGAGGGAGCTGTCTTGTGGGGACCATCCAGGTGAAGGGAGTAGTCGGGGTTAAAGTCAGGAGCTGAGGGACAGTGACGCTCCTGAGCCCCCCCACCCAGCTGACACAGGGCTGGGCTGGGACCAGGATGCAGCCTCAGACCATCCCAGGCCCTTTTCTCTTCCATGTAGCTTAGGAGGGCGGGAGTCTGCAGGACTCACCCACATGGGCCTGAGGTCAAGGAGAGCCAAGGAGTCTGGACAACCTGTGCTTAAAAAGGTTTTGACACGTGTTCGGCAAGGCCGGCAGCTGCTGCAAGGGAGGCCGGGGCTGCCCGTCCCGTGATCAGTCCTCCTGCCCCACTGCCCCGCTGCCCTGCCTGGGCTGTGCAGACCCACTGTGGGCAGGACGCACCTCCCCACCGCACCTCCTCCCAGGGACACCAGTGCTGCGGCCAGGAGGGCCAGCCATCCATGGGCCCCATGCCCCACCACCGGGAGTCCAACCCCCAGGGGTCCAGTCTCCCATGCAGGGCAGCTCGTGGTTGAGAGGGCCTTTGGGCTGGACCTGTGACCTTCACAGAGCCAGCTGGGAAGCAGTCCTGGGTTCTCTTTCCAGGAGCCTGCACCCTGGGCGGGGTCAGGTGTATGAGGAGGGTTAGCCCCACGGGAGGAGGCACGAGGGCAGGCAGGGACTGCAGAGGACAGTGGGAGGACACCTGCTTGAATGGAGGGAACCGCTGCAGGAGGCCAGTGTCACTTCTTGCTCCTTAAGGACAGTTTTTGATTGTTCACTGACGTGTCCTGGGGCCCACTAATGTTGACAAAAATAGCCTTTGGCAGGGAGGATGGGGCAGACTCCCAAGAGAGGGCTCGTCAGCTCTAACTAGGCCTCCTGGGCACTCACTTGGGCCCAAGACATGAGCCCGAGCCCAGGTCTCAGCACACGTGTGCTCCAGGCAGCATGCATGCATGTGCATGCCGGTCCCCTCCAGATGTGCCATGGTGGGGCGCCCCCCCTCCTGCTCCCAGCCCACCTCCCCCATCCCCACCGTCGGCTCTTCCTCCACCTCGTGTCTATTCTTAGCTCCCATCCCCAGGGTCCAGCTGACAGGGAACGCAGACTCTTTGTGTGGAGTTGTTTCTCGATGAATATTTTATGCTGGCAAGAGGTGTTCCCGCAGCTGCCAGCACTCTCCAGGCTAATTGTTAGAGGAGGCAAACTTGGGGCACAGAGCCAGGGTGTTGGTCTGGACACCAGCCTGGCCCTGCTTCCCTGTGGCA